GCTCTTACTACTAAGATAAGAGCTCTTCTATTTCCACAGGGAAGAGACTTTAATGGGGTGGTTTTTGAGCATCAACGGAATGTAAAATATCAGGTAATGTTGGATGAACCAGTGGAGAACTAGTTCTATGCTAACTAGTTTAGACCTATGTATGACGGATAGTTGCAGAAAATGATTGTATTATGATCATTTGTGGATTTGATCAACAGATTCAATTTTTGGCCTCTCTATCAAGTTTTGAGGTTGATATGTCCTATAAGAGAGTCAAGGGAGCCTTTAATGAGGTTATTTTTGCAACATTTCTTCCTGACCATAACAAGGGTGAGCCTTTGACATTAGAACTAGTTTCAGAACTAGATGCTAACTAGTTTAGTTTTCACACTGCTCCAGGTCTTTATCAATCAGGAAACAGCTGAAAGCTATAGACTTTTATTCCAACAAGTATTCTCTCTTATTTCTGAAGTATGTGAAAGACCAGTTGAGTTCCATTATTTACATAATAGTGGAATAAAAGCTGTTGTGGTTGATATGGATGCAAAACAGATGTCCGGTGAGTGATAAACTAGTTAGCTCATGACTAGTTGCTAACTAGTTCTCAGGTCTTGGCCACTATCTCCAATCTCTTGATCCATTATGTCGACCGTGGACATGGCAGCTAAAAAATATTGTTATTTTTTGCCATGTCCACTTCAAGCGAACAATCACTAGACTATTGGGATCAGATAGAGATTTAGGATCTGAAGAGCTGTATCATTCTCCCTGGTTTAGAATGAAAAGTCTTCTATCTTGTGAGAGTGAAGATGACTATTATCATTTGATTGCACTTTTACAAGGTAAGTGGAAAACTAGTTATCAACATAACCAGTTCCTAACTAGTTCTGCAGATAATGAGAGTCCAGAGATTGTTCAGTGGGCTGAGCATAAAAAACACCCTGTTATTGCAGCTGGTCTAAATAAGGCTTGTTCCTTGATGAATCCTACCTTTTTTGAGTCTACAAGGAATATTACAAATGCTGTTGAGCAGAGTCATTACAAGTCATACTGGATGGGTGTGTATGATTCTTTGCTTGGTGCCACATTGGGGTATGTTTACTAGTTCCTAACTAGTTCAGAGTCATTCTAACACAAGTCTAGGTCTTTCACCATTGATCAATGTGATATTGATCAGTACAATGCCAGAGTGGCCTTTGGAATCTATCACAATTCCAGAGATAATAGTCTTGAGACCCAATATTACAATCATTTGGGCAATGAGAGTATGCAACTAGTTCTCTAAACTAGTTTCACAAACTAGTTTACTAACTTATTTACAGATGCATGAAAAAGAAAACAAATCAATCATTCAGATTCTCAACAGTCAGATGTAGGAGATGAAATCCTATTCCAGTCCAGCTCCTCTGGCTTTATACCTGCAAGAAGAAGAGGTAGCTCTCAATCTTCTAGAGGTCAGGCTTCACAGTCACCATCTGTGGTATCCTTAAGGTCAAGGTAGGTAGAGAACCAGTTCTGAACTAGTTCCTCACTAATATAAAATAGACAATCTGTCAATTCTTCATCTGCAAGGTCATCAGTTCAAGCACAGTAGGTCATCTCATAGAACTAGATCACAACTAGTTCTTT